TCCCACTCACTGAGCCTTGATAGAAATAGAGGGCCTGCGTAATGCCCTTAATGCTAGATTTTGGGGAAAAAATAGAAGAAACCTTACAGTAAGCAAACAAATCAACAGCCCTGAGGCAGGCAAAGAGAAAGAAGCCCGAGTTGAGCTCTTAGCTGCTCCTCTGTCGGGAAAAAAAAAGGGTTAACCTTGGCTAGCTCCCTATTCTGAAGACATCCAGAATTGCCAACTTTGTAAAAAATAAAGAATGCAACTTATGACAACAAAACTTTAGAGTACCACCATATAACCCCTCAATGCATGTCAGGATGTCAGCCAAACCTTCCCACACTATCCTAGAAAGTGAAAAATCATAGAGAAATGGAGGAAGTGGAATATGAAGAATTCATCCATTAATGCAATCCTACAACCATAACAAATTAAGATATGTGAGGACAATCTTGTAGAGAGAATGTCTGAAACTATTCCAAGTTAGATGGAATTTAAATTTTTTCAAAAAAAAAAATGGAAAAGCAACCTGGAAAATATTCAGCAGAATTAGAGACAGAATTAACAAGTACTGATTCAGTAAATCAAAGAAAAATGGGAAGGGGTCTCAGTTAAGTGTGCTGTAGAGGTTTAAAGACTAAGCAACATTATCTATGGGAGAAGGGTAAATTTACAGACCATTTGCAAATTCGAGACATTTTGGGCAGGTCAGATTTCAGAGTACATACAAAAGTATCAAATGCTAGGAAAAGACAGTTCTTCAACCTAGGTTTTGCACTTTTGTAACCAATGGGGCAGCTCCTCACCACCCCCATATTGCTAGTTTCTATTCTTTCTTGTATTTCTTTTTAATTTATGCAACAAGTAATTAGAGGGTGGCGTCATTCGTGCTCCAACAATAGACTGAGCTGCTCCACCAATGCTTTCTGCTGAAATAGGACACACATGCATGGTGCTGCCATCTATTATCTGTCCTCTATTCAGTTTCTCACGTCAAAACAAAACTAACCTCAAGCCTCCTTTTCATCTCAATTTCCCATTGTTTCTGTGATTAAACATCGACAAACTGAAATCCGCCATAATGGTGTTAAATTTATTATTTGACAGTATATTACTGGCTTTATGTCACCATGAATTCTCAGCTGATCATAGTAATGGCTCAAATACCAATGGCCTATCGACATTGATAATCGAATCATTTCTTCCAATTTTTCAATTCAATATACTTGCAACGTTGTAAACATTCTTGTTATGCCATTGGGCACGAGCTGACAGACAAGTAACATACGGCAACGTTTGGGGTTAAAGGAGAAGCCTAGAAAGGAGACAACGAAATTGGAGTTCGTTGTGGGCTTCACATTCTCTTTAAAGGTAAACTCTAGTTTTTAGCAAGAAATACCAAAAATCAGGAAAAGGGATGGTGCGTGCGGAAGAGTTTGCACAGGATGAGGAGAGCAAAGTCAAAGAGTTTGTAGCCAAGTGAGTCTTGTTTTGAGGTGAGAGAACTTCATTAGAGGAGATAGGATAAATGATAGCACTGTGAAATGGGAAAACTTGGTGCAAGGGATTTGTGTCCTTTTACTTCAGCTAAAAAACCGGGGTAGGGAACCATAATCTATTGTTGGAGTGCGAATAGTGCCAGAAAAATGAATTCTTATTCTTTTTTGTAAATGGGCATTGCCTAGTGCAATGCAGAAGCTTCAGTTGGCCACCATGAATCTCTGGGTTCAAATCTGCAAACAACTATTTTTAGCAAGAAATACCAAAAATCAGATTTGTATCCAACCCACCTCTATCCACATTCTCAATTAATAGGTACTAGGTAGGGTTCCCAATCAGGCCCCTATAAGCCATACTTGGCTTTGACTAAACTTAGCTCAGTTTCAAGTGGTTTCGTTCTAAGCGGGCTTCAAAACTTGGGCTCAAACTCAACTCCAAATAAAATTGAGAGTTTGGGCCAAGTTCAAGTCGGCCAATTTTGTTTTTGGAAATACCCAAACATTACAACTAGCTCAAGCAAAACTAAAGAGCTCAAACGTAAAACTAAAAGAAGAAAATTTTCTGTAAAAGATACATACATATATACATATATATATATATATATATATATATATATATATATATATATATGTATAAGAAAAACAAAATATGGAGAGAAAAAGAGGATGATCAAATAGAAATTCTAGTTCGAGTAATCAAAAAAAAAACCTATTTCCTATAACATTGGCCTCTCCTATTTTTTCTTCCTACAAGGGAAAAAAAAAATTCTAAACCAAAAAAGAAAACCAAACAAAAAAGGGGAGCTTGTGGATTTTTTTAATTGCGACCACCTTACATAGAAGAAATTTTGCATATTATGAAAGAAAAAATAAATCTAAAACCCATTACAAGAGATGATGCAAATGACGTTAGCATTTTGGTAGGATTTGATGATGTGAAGACATTTGTTAAAGTACCTTTTTGCATAATTCAAATTGTGCATTGATCAGACCGAATCAAGACAATTGCAAACTCTGTATCAACGTGGTTCAAATGCAAACGAAATTGGGTCGACAATACTCCTGTCGAAAGTCTTACTATCACTCACTCTAATATGAATACACACCACAAATACAAGATCTAATAATAATGACTACATTAATAGTAGTAAACCATCAGTTTTATGGAAGGTGACTTTGACAGATAAAACACAAAGATGTTTCCATAGTGATAACAGGCCTCGAGTAATAACAACCACTTAAAACCTTCAAACTTAACTCTCTCTTCCTATTTCACAACAGAGAACAGAGGCTTCACTATTTGTTTGGAAAACTTCAAGTTGAGATCAGTCAAGAAGAATGTTAAGGATCTACCTCTAAGGCACTAAAATAGAGGCACAACTCATGTAAATGTCGGGTCTAAAAAAACACACTATCTATTGATGTACAGCTAGGTAGTACATATCCCCTAAGAATCCATGGAAGAAAGATCAACACAAGACTATGAAACTCAAGAAGAAATTTTATCGAATCAAGTCTAGAGTAGTTGTGTTCCATGATAAATTGCAATGTTCAGGTTCAATTTCACCTCACAAGACTTCCACAGCTTTGACTGACTGACTGACATGTCGAGTCTTAATCCACCACTGAACAATAGACTAAATTTTCTCCAATGAAGGGATTAATGTGTAGAATATCAGTTCGTTATTTCAAAGTTCAAATTATCATTGAACACATTCCAAAAATGACTCACTTTTGTTCCAGAACATTAATTTGATAGTCGTCAAAATGTTCATCAATAGGAGTTGTTAACATATTGAGGCAAAAAAAAATAATGGACTGATCAATAGGAACAAAATGAGGTAAAGCTTGTTGGATTAAAGTAACGTAACACATATACCAATAGGTAAAAACTCAAATAAGATTCATTTGATGTAAATTGTCAAATTGATTTGTGGAAAGAATTTGATTCTTGGCTTCTTTCGAAATTTTTGGGCCTGTTTGGTTTGCATTTCAAAAAATAGTATCCGAAAACAGTTTTTAAGAAGACCTTTAAGAAAGTGGTTTTGATATTTTTTGAAATAAAAAACTTGTTTGGTTAAATGATTTCAAAAACAATTTTACAATATAGAAAATAGAAAAACCTATTTGGACAACCTAAATACATATTTAAACAGTAATTCAAACACTACTAAAAAAATATAAAAAAGTTATTTTTATATTGACAATTTCAATATATATATAATAAAAAATATATATACATATTTATATATATAAACAAATATATATATATAAATAAATATATATATCTATATATATATATAAATATTTTTATATAAACACGTATTTATATATAAATAATATACATATATATACCTATTTATATATATATTATATTTATATTATTTATATATATATATGTTTATATATATATAATAAAACAGGATTGTGTTTGAATTTTATCCTACTCATATTTTTTCCCTCAAAATCATCACCAATCACTTACCTCACCCATCATCCCTTTGTCAGACTCAAACGTCAAATCACATCACTCATTTTTATCACATATTTAATCATTTATATATTTCCTCCTTAAAGATATCACACCACTTATTTCTATCATATATTTAATAATTTAATATTTAATTAATTTATAGTTAATATATTTTGAAAAAATTTAATATAGTGGGATCGATTTTTTGAACTCTTGAATTTTATATTTTATCGTACCTTCAGGCACGGGTTATAACTAATATATATATATATATAATATAAATAAATACATGTATATATATATATTGGTATATATATTTATATGTATATATTGGTATATATTGGTGTATATATATACATATATTTATATATATATGCATATATATATATATATACCCATATCTAAACATCCAAAATTGTTCTCATTGTTTTCAAAATTTTCAAAGAAAACTCTGAAAACAAGCTACACTTGTTTTCTATTTTTTTGACTCAAATCTCATTTTTTTCCCAAAATTTAGAGAACAAAAATGCTAAACAAACAGTTTTTGGGTATTTTTAAAATTTTGAGAACAAAAAACTATTTTTCAAAAGCTAACCAAACACGCCCTTTGTTTCTCCTAATTTTTGTACAATTTTCTGTGTTTTTTGTAAGGGCAGATTAAAGAGCAATTGTGAAATTTGATTTTCTTTCCATTGCCTAATAAAAATTCAAATAGAACAAACTTCAAAGATCAGACAGAAAAAAGCAAAAAAATAAAAAAGAACCACTGAAAGCGATAAGGTTGCTACATTGTGAACTAGATGTTAAGGGTTCAAGTACAAAAATAGTCTATCTGCATGGAGGATAAGACCTTTCCAAATCCCGTAGTGGCGACAACCTCATGCAATCGTGCAACTGGCCGACCTTTTAACTCTAAGTTACCTTCGTGTCAACGAAATGATACAATGTCTATTCACTTATTTACCATTGAAATAAATAACATTGAGGATACCAAGCCATGAAACACACATACAGACACGGGTGTCGTATTCGATACAATACGAAAATGGAGATATGACAAAGTTAAAAAAATATGGGACACGAATATGGCAAGGATACATTTATTAAAATAATATAATATATTTTTTAAATAATAATAGAGTTGTAATATAATAAAAATAAAAGCATATTATAACAATATTAATAATAAGACCTAACAAATATTTTTTTTTTTGATTAAAATTAAAATAAATCAAATTAAATGTCCACCATTTTCATCAAACATCATTGCTTCTATTAACATTCATAGTATATAAGTTACATAACAAAAAATATATTAAAAAAAACTAAAAATAATACTCTCTTTTTAATAGTTAAAAGTTATTTCTTTTTTAAAAAGTTATTGGTCGTGTCCTGGTCGTATTATAAACGTATCTTGGCGGTGTCCTTGACGTATCCTGGCTATATTCTAGACGTATCCTGGCCGTGTTTTATCCGTGTCCTAGTCATGTCCTAACCGTGTCAGACTGAATTCACTATTTAGGACACTTCTAACCGTATCCGTGTTGAACACATGTCCACCACTATGTTGGCACCCCTATGGGAAGTATCTGTGCTTCCTAGACACCAGGTAAAAGGCAACTATATCCAAATGAAGTTGCATCTAAAGGTCTACAAAACTCTCATCACCAAAATCATTATCAAAGTGAATAACCAAAGCCTTGTGAATATGGGCAGATGAGCATGTCCAAAAATTTTACCCAATATCCTAACATTTTAAAGTATCGAATAAGCATGTCCAAAAATTCCTATATTGCAACACAATCACCAAGAAAAAAAGTAGTCATATATGATGAATTTATTTAAACTTCCAAAGGATTACATGAAATAGCTAAGAATGTTTCCATATCACCTATGACATATTTAGAGTGGATCAATTAGCGTAAGGGAGATGCAAACTCAACCTTGAATTTCATAACCAAGTTACTCTATTAACCCATATGTCCCTTTTAGCTTCATTTGCTTTAGAAAAATGCTAGAAAAGTTAACAGATTGGGTTACAATAATCAGGGGGGACAATAGAGCACAAGTATAAAAAAACAAACAATCAACATGGCTTTAATATGGTTTTAAGTATCTCTCTTTTTGAGTCCTTAACTAATAACCATTGTTTACCAATCTTCCAACTCTCATTTATGATATGGAAGTCCAAGGCTCCCTTAAAGATTTAATTTGCTTAGTTGCATGCGCATAAGAGACTCAACACTAATGATTTGCTTAAAAAAACAAAAAGACATTTCCATGCTTTTCACTCGCAATAGTATATTCTATGTGTGTGACGGGATGTATGGATCATATTTTCTTGCATTGCTCCTTGTCAATAATATGTGGAATGTGCTTTTGGGAGTATTTGGTTTCACTTGGGTGTGCCCTAAAGTTTGTCTTTCAATCTTTGAAATCCATTTTGATGGATTTGGTTAAAGCAACTAAGCTAAGGGGTTATGTAGCTGTGCGATTTTAGCATTATTTTGGGTGGTGTAGTTGGAAAGAAATCTCCGAATTTTTGAAGATATAGAGGCTACTTGGAAAGAGATATGGGATAAAGTCACTTACATGGCTTATCTTTGGGCTTCCATGTCTAAAGACTTTGAAAGAATTCCATTTTTTTTTATAAAGGATCATTGGGCGCAAGTGTGTACAGGTTGATAAGCATGCAACAATTTATTTTAGTTTCATGTTAGCCATAGTTATCTATTTTTTCCCTTGGAGAACTCCTTGTCTTCAAATGTATTTTATTATATTTCATATAAATAAAATTTTATTGTTTCCTATTAAAAAAAATTTGGTTTGAAGTACCAGATGACACCAAAAACATTTTGCTCCTATACATGCTAAAAAGGGACGTTAACCCATTGGATCCTTGTTAATCAAGGGTGTTTGAGGTGGTGGATTGGATACAGACATAACCTTTAACTTTATTTGGGTTGCTCTATATGTACTCATTTGGAAATTCATTTCAAACATATAACTAGTTGGCATTGGTGAGTTTGGAAGCATCTTGGTTAGTAAGAATGACACAACCAACTGCCCCATGATTACGCTAAATAAAATTGATAATTAGTCTCTTACCAAGTTTTTCATTTCAAAGGATATTTTCACTCATTGTGTTAATTTTGAAGATCCAGGTACATGTACTCCAGTTTGCGTGAATTGCCCTATAACGCTAGTTTTGTTGATCATGAATTTCCTCACTAATGGTACCTGAAATTCAGCTAAATTCTTTCCTTCTTGCTCAAGTAAGGCTGGTTATAACTCCTTTACTCATGGACTTAGATGCTCCCTTCGAATTTCATTTAGAGCTAACACATTGACTCCTTGAAGTTAACTCTGGATCATGTAATTAAGGTATGGTTTTTACAAATATTACTACATCCACAATGTTTGTTGCATTTGCTAAACTCCACTTTTGCAATTTAACTCTCATAGATCACAGAAAAAGTGATATAAAACTGGATGCAACATGGTAAGAAGTTGTACTGACAAAAAAGAAAACAACCTCCATTTCAAACAAACAAGATGAAGGAAAAAAATAGTACAGGTACAATCAATTTTTTTTTAAAAGTTTTACACGAAAGTATCATTAAATTTACATGATCAGAGCCATTTTCAAACCATCTCCCTATAAACAACACAAGAAAATTGGCCCTCAAACCTAGATAGTCGAAAAAACGAAATGAATAGTTTATCTAATGAATTAACGCACAACATCATTGTCATTAGAATCGAAGAGATATGAAGAAAACAAAACACACACAAAAAAAAAAAAAAACGTAATGGGAAATGCAATGAAGGCCAGCAGATAAGACTTACTGTAGGTCAGACAGAGTTCATTGGTGCAGCGCATCACCATCCATCAGCTCTTTATAATACTTCAAGTTGCCGCAAACATTGCATTCCATTGCAGAAGAGGGAGTCACACCCGATGGAGGCAGAGGGGCCAAAGTGCCCCAGCAATTGTTTCCATTGCACATGTATCTCAGGAAGAAATATGCGTGAGGGAAATCATCGTCTCTATTGACCACACTACAATCCTCAGTCGCTGAGTCCGCCATATCCATGTGTTCATCAAGATCCTCATCCATCAACTCCTCGTCCTTTTCCTCATCACTATTACTATCATCCCCCAAATCTTCCTCGTCTGACCAATTGGCCTCGACCTTGCAACGATCGCACTGACATGTGAAACCATAATCGTCCCTCAACCTGCGTTGTCTGTCGGAATACTTGAGGTTCACAGGGAAATAACTCAAGCAGATCTCCCTGCCTTGAGGAACATCATGGATAACCCTAACGATAATGTCGGTGTTGTGCTGGGTTGCAGAATCTGCGTCGACGTAATCGAACCTGCAGGCATTTGGGAGGCAATCGTGGTTAAAGAAACATGCCTTAGGATAGATACCGTAAGCCCTGACTGATCTCTGTGTGTCTTCTGAGAAAGGCTCCATTAAGCCGAAGGCGTTGAGCTTGTCCTTGGCCAGGAGAGACGCCGTCAGTTCCAAGGAAAACCCAAATCCGGTGGAGTTCTGAGAAGGAAGCGGAGGACAAAGAGAAGAGATGAGGAAATGGAGGAAAAGGGCAGCTTCTTCGGGCTGGGCAGTGGAACTGCAATCGCCTTGAAGGGACAGCAGAGTTTGGAAATCGGAAGGGGAAACGAGGGCGAGGTTGTAGGCGGCGACGAGGAAACGTGCTTGGACTTGGCGATCTCGGTGGTGGTGCAGCTGCAGGGGCGAAGGGCAATCTCGAAGGCGGGTTAGAGCTTGGCAGACCCAAGGAGTGTGTGAAGAAGAGAGAGCGACGGAGCGGCAATTAGATCCACAGAAGAGGGCAGAGGAGCAGGAAGAGCACGAAACAAGCGTGGGGATCGAAGGCTTTTGTAGGATTCGGAAGCAATTGGAGCAGTAAAGATTGTGGTAGTGTTGTTGCTGTGGTTGATGGGGAGGTGGAAGAATTGTCAAAGGAAGAGCGGAATAGAGGAGGATTGGGGAGTCCCTGATGACGATTTGGCCTGCTCTCAGCGGCTCAGAGGCAACCACCGCCCTCCCCCTCCCCTCAATCTCTGCTATCCTCACAACAAGTAGAGGAGCTCCTCTTATTTTTGCCTCACCACCATGTCGAAGAAGACGATCCTCTCTCGCCATCACCGTCGACATGAGGATGGAGGAAATACCCTGGACTTCAGCGCGCCTGCAGTGCTGGTTAGGTTTTTAACTCTACCTTGGCTTTGGTCAAACTTTCTATCGGAGCACCATACACCATTTACGTGATAAAATATTGACTTTTCTCCTTTAAATTTAGTTGATTTTCATTTAATACTCCTCCTATTTTTAAATACTTGTAACAAATTAAGAAAATTATTAAATAACTCTAATATGAGTAAAAACTAATTATACAAAATTAAAATACTCTTATTCAATACGTATTAGGAAGGAAAAGAATATGATAGTCATTTAGTCTAAATCTATTAAGCACTTATTAGAAAACATAGATAAGGGTATATTTGAAAGAAAAAATATTAATTATATTTTGATTTCATTAAACGACAGATATTGTGGAACAAAAAAATTTATGTAAAACGACATATATTTAAGAACGAAATGAGTAATTGATTCTTAAAAAGTTATTAAATAAATTTATGTTTAAAAACACTACACAATACAAATAATAACTAATTTAAAAAATAATGATTCATCAACAAAAGTTGAACCCCCGTAGGGCCTAAAATAAAGGCGACAATTGAGTAGTATCGTATCCTATCATGTTATCTCTTCTCGAGTTCATGTCAAAAATATTCAACCCTAACATGACTGATTTAGTTAATTGTTTGGAATACTGTCAAAAGTATTCAACCTCAACATGACTGGTTTAATTAATTATCCGAAATACCTTAGTACAATGCAATTCCCTTATAACACAACTAATCCTAACATAGCTATTTAACACATTAAAGCAACTCCAATCCTGCTAGCCATTCTCCCTTTTTAGCTAATTTGGAGGGCAGCACTCAAAAAATCAACTCCAACTCACTAGTCATCCTCCTTGCCAAAATCTGGAAGTTCTTAATGCTCGCCAAATATGGAAGGCCATATTTGCTCGCCACTTGCTTCTGTGTTCTTCTGTGAACTTCTTCAACTGTGAGCCAGGTATTCATCTCCCCTTCCCCTTGCTACTCCTTTGTTGTTGTTAGCTGCTACTATTGATCTGTTTTGTTGCCTGTTTTGCTTCCCCCTCCCCACTGTTTTGCTATCAAAAACTCCTATCTCTCTCCACTGATTTGTTTCATGTTTTGTTGCCAAAAATTCCTCCCCCTCCCCCTATCCCTCCCCATTGATTTGCTGTATTTTTGAATTATATTATTGAAAGTTGGTTAAAGTTAGTTAAAGTAGTTATCTTAAATAGAGAGCGTGGTTAGAGTGAATTTGAAAAAGTGGCTAGTTAAAATAAAGAATATAATATATAACTATAGTTTGAGTAGCTATTTTGCTGAGCAGGGTTGGAGTTGCTCTTACGACTCTCCTTCAACTTGGACTGCGACACTATTCCTTTCTCAACTATTTTTGCTTCAAACCCTAACTCAACTTCCTTGACTCCAAATTCAAACCTTTTTATATCTCCACCAGTGAAACCCACTCAGAGTTGTCCTCAAGTCTTAACTTGTACCTCCACCAAATCTCTCGGATACTTGAGAGAAAAGTGAGAATACCACTGGAGGTTGAAGAGAGGAATGAACATGCCACATTTTGACATATTAGAAAGGTAGTGTAGGAAATAGGACCAAGGCAATACCCACTCCCCCCCCCCCCCCAACAA